ATTTAGATAAATTTAATAGATTAACTGACAAAAAATTAAAAGATACACCTTTATAATTAAAAAATCAAAAAATATAAAAAAATTAAAAAATAAAAGTTATATAAAATTTTAAAATTAAAATATCAAAATTAACATTTAACTTATAATTAGTGATAGTTCTAGTCAAAAAATTATATGTAATAAATACAACATTGACGAAGACTCAACAAAGACTTGACAGCCGTACCATCATTTTGAAATTGCTTTGTTTCCCACTTCAGCCACTGTTTTCTATTTATTTGCTCCAATCAATTCGGCTTCCTCATCCATTAACTCCTCAATTATAGCAAAATGATTTTGTTCCGAGACTTTCGCTCCTAGGCTTCTATCAAGAGCCGTTGATTTCGCCAAGTTTTTGGCATAGATTGTGAAGAGGCAAAAACTTTGGTTGATTAATCGGCAAAGAACTCTATAATATACTATTATAAATTACATTAAATAATTTTTTAATATTAATATTTATCTACCAATATTTATTATATATATATATTAAAAGACGTGTTGAAAGTGGAAACTAGTTGAAGAATTGATGTCTTGGACCTTCTCCATTTGTGTTTCCTATACAAATACTCCTTTGATCGAATGTCTTTGTTCTGGATAATTTGTGTTTCTTTCCTGTAGCATTCTTTATACTCATATAAAACTGTCAGGTTTTCTCTTTTTGCTTAATAATTTTGTCTTTCTCTGTTCTAAAATCTATCACATTTTGTACAGTTTTTAAGAAGTTCCTTTATTATATGTTAAATGTGAAAGGAAGATTTAATCCTTTTTTTTTTCTCACGGACTAGTCCTATTGTCATTTTCTCCACTTCAAAGAAAAAGCAGTCTTGAGGTCTTAAAGTGGGAAAAATAGCAAGGTTTTTCAAAAGGACTAGTGGATTTGTACTTTTCAATATTTGTTATTATATTTTAAATTCTTTTGTCATCTTTTACATTCTTAAAGAAAGAGTAGTCTTAAAGTTTTAAAAGTAAGGAAAAAAAGCAAAATTTTAAAAAAAGATTAATGTTTTGTAATATTTGTTATCATATTTTGAATTTTATTGTTATTTTCTACACTTAAAAGAAAAAAAATAGTCTCAATGTCTTAAAGTTAAAAAAACAGCAAGATTTTCTAAAAAGATTAGTGTTTTTTTTTTTTATTTGTTATGATATTTTGAATCCTATTATCATTATTTACACCCAAGGAAAAAAAAAAAAAAAGAAGTTTCAAAGTCTTAAAGGAGGAAAAACAGCAAGATTTATCAAAAAGATCTGTGTGTTTTTGTCACACCCCAGAACTCAAATCTGAGGCGTAATAAACGCCGTGCACTCGTGAGAGGATCCCACAAATGCACGAGACTCGAAACTTATCCAATTCACATCTGACAATCCAATAACTTAAATTAGATATTTCAAAATAATTCTATGTCCAACATGACTTAAGCTCAAAATCTCAAGGTCAAATCTCTTGTAAACTAACAATCCATTAAATGAATTTATAAAATCTCCAATTAAAATCTAACTTACAAGATCATGATTTATATCTAAAATCTATATCAAATTACAAGTGGCTAGCCTTTTAACTCGTCACTCCCCTCGTTTTTCCCCGTCCTTGACTTCTCATCCTGAAATGGTGGACAAAAAAAAACTATGAGATAACTCAGTAAGTAAATATGGATAGCCCTTAATTAAACTTATAGCATGCCAACAAGTATAATCACAAAAACGGATACAGTAGGGGAATGAAATAGACGTCTCATCTATAGGTCATGGCCAGCATTTATAAACCTCTCACTGGCAGGCACACGATTTACTAGATTTACTAGTGTATAATCCCACTAGCAGGATAACAGAATTACCAGTGTTTAACAACTCCCACTGGCAGGAGGAACCGCCTTTACAGAAATACATGTCGACATGTGCTAGCGTTTATAAACCTCCCACTAGCGGGCACACGAATAACATGACCATATTGGAGACAAAACAGACAGAATTTAACAGAAAATCATACTTTATAGATAATTTACAAATCCTCAGGGCAGTTAAATAAACTCCAAGCAGGCATGCTCAAATCAATAAAAAGAATAATAATTTATTTCAAATCGAATCATGCTCATTTTATATAAAACGGGTTTAGTCTCGCCACCACTTCAAAAACAAATTAAAATATATTTTTAAAATCGAAGGACGTTACCATAATTTACTTACCTCAAATCGCATAAAACCGAGGACTCAATCCAAGTGCTAGGGCAACCAATGATAAAAAACCTAATCAAAATATTTCAAAATTAATACCGCACTACCACAAATTCAAGTGAAATCATCATTAACACTACCTCTAATCACGATACTATTTCTATCAATCTCCACATGACCGGACATCTCCAAATTTGTTTTTATATTACAAACTAAACATTTAATCCCCGTTAAGTGTTGGCCATCAGTGTGTGAACAGTACCCGTAAACAGTGCCTGTGAACAGTTATCACGCCATGAACAGTACTGCACTTCCATAAATTGGCAGAACAATGGCTAATTCACCGGATTTTTCTCCAAAATCTCACAGTAACTAATTAACTAATTTTCTACTTGAATTAAGCTAAATCATGGTCTAAATACTGTCAAATTCATCCCCATTTTTCAACAGATTTTCGGACAACATAGGGCAGCAATTTAACAGACAAATTTCCAGCAACTAATGGGTAATTTGGGACTTAAATGGAGCTGCCACTTACCAGAATTCCAGCAAGCAAACCGGAGCTGCAAGCTAGGGGAAGGCCAGCGACAATTTGGGGAGAAATTCGCGATCTATCCCAAATATTGAAGAAACCAAGAGAAATCAAAGTTAACCCAAGCCAATTCAAGGAAAAACAGAGAATTTAATGGCTGTTGCTTACCGGGAAAAGCCCAAAAATCGCATCACAAGCTGCAGCTACGGACAGGGGAGGGGGAGAAACCTAGCAGATCTGGAATTCTCTGCAGGAGGGGGAAATTTCTGGGTTCAATTTCAGTCCTAGAACAAGAAAAGAAGGAGAAATATCCAAGCTTTCTACTGGTTTTTCAAGGGAGGTGCTGTTGGGCTTGGGGGCCTTTGTTCGGCTGCAGGGGAGAAGAAGAAGAAGAGAAACACGCGGGCGAGGGAGAAGAAAGAAGGAAAACAAATAGTTGATCCTTATCCAAATTCTTTTCTCTTTTAAGTCCCTTAAGTTTCAAAATTTTGGTTATTAAGTCCCAAAATAATATTTTTTCTCACAAAAGCTCTTACTTAAATGCTAAAATATCACAAAATTTTGGGATATTACAGTTTTAGAATTTTTTATTATATTAAAAATCCTATTGTCATTTTCTAGACTCTAAAGAAAAAACAATCTCAAAGTCTTAAAGTGGGAAAAAAAATGGTAATCCGTTTGAAAAAGATTAATGTTTTTTAATATATGTTATCATATTCCAAATCATATTATCATTTTCTATCCGTAAAAAAAAAGAGGGTAATCTCAATGTCTTAAAAGTAGGAAAAACAATAGGGTTTTTCAAAAAGATTAGTGTTTTTTTAATATTTATTATTATATTTTGAATCCTATTATTATTTTTTA